CGATATTGACTGTGCCATTGGTGCAGTTTCTGCGAAAATTAGTTTATGAAACTCTTATATCGCCGTGCGATCGTATGGTTAACGTTTTTCAGTTTCAGACCTCTTCACTTAGTAATTCCTGATTACTAAAATCTGCCGAGATTTACTGAACTCCAACTACAAATACTGGCTATTTAAGTATTCTTGAAACGAAAAATTCACTAAGTGCGTTTGAAAGGCATTTTTCCCCGTGTTTCATGCGGTTTGATCACTTTTGGCGGAAAAAATATTTTGAATTTTCGAAATTTTTTTCAAGTCTCGAAAAAAAATGTAAGTGAAAAATTTTCAAATTTTTTCTAAAAACTACTTTTCTCCGTGTTTTAAGCTATTCCGATCATTTTGAGCCAATAAAAAATTTTTAGAATTTTGCTAATTAGTTAATTGATAATTATCCAATTAACTTATTATCTGACGTAAAAATTGTTTGAACAAAAGTTTTTCTTCCTGATAATATGAACACACTCGATTGATCTGCAACCTTTTACGATGTTCACAACTAAAGATATTCGACAAACAAGAAAGGTGGTAAAAAGTGGTAAAGTGGCAAAAAGTGGCCTTAAGACAAGTAGAAAAGTTTGGAAAAGTTGGTCAGCCATAAAGGGCACCTAATGGAACTCAAAAACGTCAAAAATCCTCTGAAAAGTTCGTGTGTCAGCAGATCGATTTTTTCAGACGGATCTGTCTGTACTATAATATAATAAGTGACGTTCAGGAAAATTTGATGGACGAAGAAAATTGAAAATTGAAAATAAGACCCAAGTCCAAAAATGAGCTGGCGGTGGGATCGAATGATAAATTAGCTTAGCCGACTGAATGATTCAATGAAACAAGAAATATTTTATGACTGTATAATTGGTGTGGAACAGCCCTTAAACATTCTGCAATTTATGGAGGATTTCTGGAATTTCTGGAAATGATCTTACTTTACCTCACGTTTGCACCCCGACACTAAGTGGGCCGACAATGGTATGGGGGTCACGACATGATGTTATGAGGGTCACGACAATGGTATGGGGGTAACGACTTCATACAAATCTAAATCAGGTAACCGGAAGTTAACCCAGTAGAGGAATCTATGAATCTTTCCTAGTATAGTATAGCCGTTAAGTAAACATCTACGGTAAGGTAATGCTTCCCTTGACGATAACCCAGCCTGTGGACATACTATGTTTCTAAGATAAACATATATCTCTGCGGCTATTTCTATCCTCAGGATGCCAGATAATGTGAAAAAAAAACTTCAATTTATATTGGTCGTCCGCTTTTTTTATTCTGATTCATTCACGGCCGATTTCATTCTCGGCAACATTTCGCGTTTAGTACAGAAACAGTAATTTAATTTGATATCATTTCCTTTTATTTGGAAAAAGGAAACTTTTGTTATGTTCCATGCACTTTATATTATTACCCAATTTTGGGTTTTGGTTGAAAACTATTTCCAATGGAATTGAACATGAAATAATTTAAGTTTAACTACATGTATATTGTATAGTGTCAATGCAATGCAAACATTTATATGTGCCATTAATTTACGAGAGGGCCGCCAAAATGTTTGTCGAAATAATTTTTGGGAACTAAGAGTAAAATAATAAACTTTCTAATTGTGGTACGTGAGAGCATATTATTATAAACAAATTAATTCTATCAAAATTCTTGTTACTGGGCGGCGCTCGGCCTATCAATTGTTATTCCAATATATATTCAATCTGTTTATGAACAGAGAGGTCCCCAGGTAAAATTCGTGGGGAGATATAATTAAATTTCTCAATCGTTATGAGGTAGTTGGTATGGTACCCTGATAATGACTTGTAATTTATACTTATACTTAAACCCATGTCTATACTGGAGCTACGCGTTTCCAAGAAAACTTGATTAATTGATTCAATTTTTATTCAATTCCCCGTAAAACAAAAATAATTCCTCCTTTCCCACCCCTAGATACCTCGCAATGTTCACATGTAATAGCAAATAATTCAGGGGTGTAGGAATGATTTTCTGTGCGCCACAGTCAGAATTTCAAAGGTTTTATAAATTTCAATACTATAGTAGTAGTATCGTGCAGAAGGCAAACATTTTTGAACATTTTGCTCGTGCAAAACGTCTGGAAGCAATTTGGCAATACTAATAGAGACATTTTTGAACTATGCTTACACTGTACACCATTAAAATATTCTCTAAAAATAATATAACACTAGTTCTACTAGTATATGATGTTTTCAAGGGTCACTTGGCGGAAAAGTCACCGAAATTATGGCACTCAACAACATAGTTCATGAGTTAGTCCCCGCCAACATGACAAACTTGTTCCAGCCTCTAGATATTACGGTAAATCGTGTTGCCAAGGACATTGTCCGACGTTGTTATAGTTCATATAACTCAGGGGAGGTAATGAAACAGTGCTAGGAAAGACCCACGTGATGTTAAAGTAAACCTAAAGTTGTCTAAGATAAAACCACTTCACGCCGAATGGCTTGTAAAAGTTAACACTGAAATGCAGGACCGGGGTAGTTTGATAAAAAAAGGTTTCCATAAAGCTAGAAACCACATATGCTTTAAGCATATGGACTATTCTATGCACGAAAACCCATTTGATGAAGATGATATGTGATATTAGACACTGATCATGTACACATATTTTGACATTTTTAATGCTTAACGACTGCTTTTCTTACTTACTGTATAAAAAATGGATTTAAAATCATTTGCTGAAATTAAAAAAAAGTCAAAAAATTGAAAAAAATTCGGATTTTTGATGGTTTTGAATGCCTTCGAGCGTTCATATTAATGTCCGTTCATAATTATGTCCGTTCATGTAATGTCCGTCCAAATAAGGTCCGATAAGGTACCTTGATTATGCCAAAGCGTTCGATAAGGTAGATCATCAAATATTACTTGCAAAGGCAAAACGCTATGGAATAAGAGGAAAGACTCTGCAATGGCTGACTGAATTCCTGAAGGATCGCCTGCAAACTGTGGTCGTGGAAGGAACAAAATCATCCTTTCAGCTAGTAATCAGTGGGGTACCCCAAGGAACAGTATTGGGACCCATTCTTTTCATTCTATACATTGACGACCAACTTGATACATTGGTTACCGCTCTGGGAAAGGTGTTTGCTGACGACACCAAGCTCATTGGAAAAATCATGGACTTAGCTACCAAAAGCCTACTTCAAGACGACCTCCTAAATGTAATCGCTTGGGCCCTGAAGAACAACATGCAACTAAATGAGGCCAAATTCGAAATATTGAATTACAGCTTGAACAATTCATTACTGTTAAGAGAATTGCCCTTCACCAGTCAATATTCCTGTTACAATTTAACAAATGGAAGAACTATTGACCCAGCCAAAACTGTGAGGGACCTATAGGGGTTCTCCTGTCAAATGACTGCTCCTGGTCTTCTCACATACAGCAGATGGCTAAAACAGCAAGGACGATGACGTCATGGGTCCTTAGCGTATTCAGAGATAGGTCACGCTTCCTCATGCTCACACTCTACAAAACCATGGTGAGAAGCAAACTCGAATACTGCTGCCCGGTGTGGAACCCTGACAAGATCAGCGATATAGAAGCTATTGAAAGCATCCAACGACACTACACTCGTCGAATCAGTGGCTGCCAGAACCTTGATTACTGGGAACGCCTGCAGAACCTGAATCTTCTCTCATTACAGAGACGCAGAGAACGATACATCATAATCCATACATGGAAGATGATGAATGGATTAGCTCCGAACGACATCAACATGCAGTTCAAGGAAAGCTCCCGACACGGTGTAAAGGCCACTGTGCCTGCATTTAACAAAAAGGCACAATGCTCAATCTCGACCCATTATGAAAACTCTTTTGGAGTAAAAGCAGCCAAACTATGGAACCTGCTCCCCAAGGAAGTTAACACAATCCAAGTCTTGGAAACTTTCAAATCCTCCCTTGCTAAATTCCTGAAAGGCTTCCCGGACACCCCGCCCACAAAAGAGTATACCGCCATCACAAATAATTCTCTTCTGGAATGGACTCTACAAAAAGATCTAAGCCAGGAGTGATTGGAGGACGTACTTGATACTGTTGTCCAGAAGCGATCCCTGCCGAACCTACCTAAAGTAACCTAAAGTAAGTAAATAATAGAGTAATAGTCCTTGGAGAGCACAGGTCCTCGTTACAGGTTTAGATTCGGCAAGGCCCCGAATGGTGGTAGACTACTCTCGAACGATCAACAAATTCACACACTTAGATGCGCATCCTCTGCCAAACCTTGATACTATAATTATATAAAATAACTATATGTAAACAATAGAAATATAATGAAGTTGTAATATAGGTAATGAAAGGAGGGACAAACTGGGGCCCCTCCGGCCTTCACGCGCCGAAGAGTATGAAGTTCCTGTTACCTGTATGTTGGGAGTTCTCCTCTTCTTCTTCATTGTGCGGAGACTGAGGAGGGCCTATCTTGACTTCTTTAGATGGGTACAATGGTTCATGACTCATGTGGACGTTATGTCCTGTGTATTAAAAGGGTTACGGGAATCTTTTATACAGAAAGTAATATAAAGATTTCCAATTTGCTAAACATATGTTTTGCTTTGAGCAGATTTACTTTTTAAATTATCGAAGTCCTGATCAGGTCAACGTTCAGAACAGGATTTGCTATGACCAGTACGTTTTCGTCAAAGATATATTGTTGATTCAGATGAATTTCACATAGAAATGGGTTAGATCTGGGGTAGAGTTCACATGTCAATTCTATAAATCATAGCTGTGCATTAAGAAGTAAACATGATCTGACTGCTCGACACGTAGATCACATAAGGGACAGGAGTTCTTGCTAAAGGGGGGGTTCTCGTATCAAGAGATGGTTGCGTTTTTAGCTTTTGTTCTGGAATCATTTATATTCAATCCATGGATCACATCACTAATTATACGCCACAAGCTTCAAGCTTGCATGTTAATTACTTGATGACGTATATGGTGGATCATATAAATGAGGAAACACTGCAAATAGACAACAGCAGTAAAGTCGACGAGTTATCCCACACCGCAGGACAAAATCAGAACCTCTCAGTTGTATCATGGAATATCAATGACATATCTCATCATTCACTAGGAAAGAAAACCGAGATTGATGAGTTTCGTGAGATCATCAAGATTTCACCGATATTTTGTCTACAAGAAACAAAGGGAGAAGTAGTGGTGCCTAACTACCGCTGCTTTAACAAAAACAGGGAATCCTCAAGATCAGGAGGTCTATGCATTGGTGTGCAACGGTCGCTCGAAAAGTACATAACCCAAATCGAAACAGGTTCAACGGACATCCAAGCAATATCCATTTCGAAAACGTACACTAAGACCGAAAAGAACATCACTCTGATAAACATCTACGACTCACCCGAAAATTCCTCATATAAGATTAGGATGAGGAGTCTTGGAGCTGAGGAAAATACTCTTGAAGCTCTTCTCCACTTTGTCGGTGAGCAACTTGGTCACTCTGACATCATGCTAGTAGGTGACCTAAATGCCCGTACAGGTGGTGTCAACTTCATCCCAGTGACCAAAGACTGGATGAAAAAGAAGAACTCGAATGCACCCAAACCTTGCCGGGCTAGTAAAGATTCTGTACTAAATGAAAGAGGTAATAGATTCCTTGACTTTCTGGGTAGCTGTGACCTCACTCTCTTAAACGGCAATGTTATTGGTGACATTTTTGGAGAGTTCACCTGCTATCAATACAACGGACAAAGTGTTGTTGACTACATTGCAGTTTCTCCGAGCATCAGGGATTTGGTGAAGCGGTTCAAAGTTCTCTCTTTAACCAATCTATCAGATCACAGACCTATCCTCTGTCAACTCTCGGTTAGAATTCCGATGATAGCTGCTGAACTTATTCAAGAGCTTCATCAAGATGCACCTAAAAGACCGGAATGGGATGTAGACACTACGGCACAACTGTTTACCGATAATCTGAACAAGGCCGAAATAACAAAACAGCTATTGGATATTTCGACCTCAACCTTTGATTCTGCTGAAAACATTTACTCCACTAACAAGAAGTTCGTTCAAATCCTCGAAAGCGCCCTTGCAACCGATCAGCCCCCAAACTGTGTCAATAGTGAGAAAAAGATGAGGTGTTTCTCTAAAAATAAACGACGTAGTAAACTCCGCCCAAAACAAAAGTGGTTCGACGCTGAGTGTATTACAACAAAGCGAGAGCTTAATACTTTAACAAGGAAGTACGGAAAAAACCCCTTGGACGACCTTCTACGAATCCGCTACTACTCGAGGAAGAAAGATTATAAAAGATTAATAAAAAGAAAAAAGGCTGCTTTCTTCCAAGAACTGAACCAGGATATTCTACAGGAAAACAAGATTTCGTGGAAGAACATAAAGAAATTGAAGAAGTTTAATGAAAAACCCTCAAAGCTTGACATATTCGACATGGCGAAGTTCTACCAATTCTTTCTGGATCTCTACAAAAAGAAGGATACAAACTTCCCACAGAATAGATCAGTGACCCGGGCAAATGAACAAATACTGAGCATACTTAACGATGATATATCATCAAAAGAGGTTGTTGAAGCAGTGAAAACACTTAAGAACGGTAAGGCGGTTGGACTAGATTGTTTACTCAATGAGCAGCTGAAGTCCGCCGTCCAAAACCACTGCGCCCTCTCAGTGTTGGTTAAGCTCTTTAATGGTTGCTTGGACCTTGGCGTCTATCCATGGAACACTACGATCGTGAGCCCACTCCATAAGAAAGGTTGTATTTATGACCCTGATAATTACAGGGCCATTGCAATCGGGAGCAACCTTGGTAAACTGTTTTCGACAATATTATTAGATCGTTTATTAAAGGACCAGTTAACTGAAAAATTTGTAGTCTCCAATTTGGCTAAGATTTAAATCAGCTGTGACAAACTGGTAAAGAATCGTATCGCCGAAAGAACCAACTCTCTAGCGTACGTGTAATGCGTCTTATTGCAATAATAAGCTGTGGCCTCGTGACGTCATAAAGTCCCTCAGTGCGCGCTTGCATAGCGTAATTTACATTACAAATGTTTATCATCGTCAATAAAACACGTGTAACTCACTCAAATTTTAGAATTATGACTATTACCCTAGTTCTCCAAAATCTTTATAGTTTTGGCTATCATTCTAACTAAAGGAATAGCTGATTGGATGTACAGTGCTCACGTCATGATTTTAAACAGTGATATAGGTTCTTGAACAGTGGCGGGTGAATGTACGGTTAGAAAGTTTCTGCTATTACAACTTATGTCATATGTGATAATTTTGGATTGTTTTCATTGCTTAATTACACAAGCAGCTAGGGAGACTGTCCATGAAACTCTAACGAATTTAGAAAGGATCTAGATAAGTAGGAGCTTGTTCAATTCCGAGAGCAATTATATTTATAGCATAGCGAAATTTATAACTTTAATCCGCATGTGTCAGCCAGTACAGGAGACAAGAAGTCTGGCTACTTTACGGCCGTTCCTCTGGGACCATTAGTAGAAGTAGCTTCTATCAGAACAGTGCCCTGGGAACAGAATTCCCGCCAAAATACCCGGTCTCGGGTCTACCAAATAGTAATACTGATTGGAGTGTACGGTGTGCGGTGTGTTTTGAATTAGACTTACGGCTTACCTAGTTGTTATCCTAATTGCATTATCATCGGTACATAACATAAATAAACTACTGGTAAGTTTAAATACCAAGTGCAAACGTGTTCAGTCAATCAACCCACTGAACAACTATAGAATTTCCAAGACCCTATTATTCTCTGGCCATATATTACGGCACGATCGATTGTTAGATGTCTAAACGACCAACGTTAATCTATACAATTCTAAAACTATGAGCTAGCACTTTAATCTAAAAATACACTTTTTATATTACTCCTGATTTTTACATTTCACGTAAAACATTGTCGCCACAGGTTGATCATGGACACTAACAGCTTGATTTGAGATAAATGACTTATGAGTTTCTCTAAAGTTAACTCTAAAGTTGTGTAGTCCAGTCTATTATGGACATTTATGGAAATTAACCTGCAAATGTTCAAATACTCACGAAACTTTGCACAGACCTTCCCGAAGGTATGAATAAACGATTTTCGTTTGGAGACATTTTTTTGACCGTGGAGAAAACCCAGGAGGGCCACGCCCATATTGACCCAATAACGTAACCGACCCCTTGCTTCTGAAGGTCGTAGAGACTTCAAAATAGGCTTAAACGAAGCCGCATATGCATGTTTATATAGGAGTTATTGAGCAACACATGGCCTAAAATCCTTACTTTTCGAGAAATTCGCCAAAAACCATTTTGGGCGTGGTGCTGAGCCCATTTTCGATAGGATCGTGATAGAGTCTTTAGACAGGGTGCAAAAGAACCGAAATTAGCATATTAATGTATGACTTACGAACAAACATATGCCTTAATGTGCTTACTTTTTCAGTTATTGGCGAAAAACTGATTTTCGGTTCTAGAAATCATGCAAAACTATGGGTATCTGGTAAATTGGGCTATGAAGGCCCTAAAGGTTTTTGAATGTGTGCAAATTGTGCAAAATGGCAATGTTTATATACAACTTATGAAGCAACATGTACCCTAAATTACTTACTTTTCGAGTTATTCGGGGAAAAACATTGTATTATGTCCATTTTCTACCTGTAAAATACAGTCTCACGAGCTCTTCTGCGCGTGAAAGGGACTTTATGACGTCATCGCCAAAATAATACAAACGCTATTTACACGCGTTAGAGAGCAGTTAGAGATTTAGGAATTTCGACTCGTTGCTTAGTTTGCTATTTGTCACAATCTGTCAAAATATGAGGATAACTTTTTTTTCAGTTAACTGGTCCTTTAAAATTCAGAAAGGAACATTGTCCGGACACAGTAAACCAGCTTGGCTTCTGTAAAAACGCTAGAACTGTGGATCACCTATTCACCCTTTCCACTTGTGTAGACAAATACGTGAATAACAAAGGACAAAGACTTTATACTTGTTTCGTGGATTTTCGCAAAGCTTTCGACTCCATCAGTCGTGAAGCTCTCCTGTATAAGCTCTCAACCCTTGGCATAGATGGAAAATTTCTTAAATGCATAGAACATATGTACAAGAATTCCAAAGCAAAGATCAAGCTGATCGCTAAAATATGAGATTCATTCGATATTCTAGCAGGCACGGAGCAGGGCCACCCAATGAGCCCCGAACTATTCAAGACTTACATCCATGAACTTTCAGAACGTCTGAACAGTATTCTAGACCTCTCAAGTCCATTGCTGAATGATACTGTCCTGACCCACCTCCTGTGGGCAGATGATCTGGTCCTCCTCGCACTCTCGAAAGAAAGCCTTCAGGTCATGATCGGTGAACTTGAGTCATTCTGCAGAGACTGGGGGCTCTCGGTGAACACAAAGAAAACTGCTATTATGATCTTCAATAAAAGTGGACGGCAACTCAAAGAAAGTTACAACTTTCAGTACATGGGGGCCACGATCCCATCAGCGAAAACATATTGTTATCTAGGGATCACCTTCTCACTGTCGGGCAGCTTCAAGACAGCATTAAATCTACTGCGACAAAAAGCTCTCCGGGCATACTTTGGACTGAAAAGTGAGGTAGACCTTAACAATATATCCAAGGTCGCAGTACTCAAACTGCTTGACTCCCTCATCCTGCCAGTTGTGTCATATGGATAGAAGTCTGGATCAGGCAGTAAGATCAGGAATAAAGGCGTTTGCAAGTACAAACCGGATCAATCGTCTGCTATTTCCCTACTGGCAGGCATCGCAGCTGACCCATTCGAAAAGGAATGCATCTCACCATCCTTTAATGGACTCTTGGACGTTGGCAAATCTACATCAACGCAGCTGTTTTTTTCATTTTTTTTTCGGGGCGGATGCGGAAGAACCCCTTTGTAGTTCAATATGCTCAAACAAGTCACCGATTTCCCCATAATCGACTTGCTAAGACTTAACTAGAAGACTCGCCAGCGCTGGCCTGGCCACGGCATTTGTGGGAGCAGAATGAAACCTTGACTAGGTTGGTTCAGAGCTCTAGAATCAATGCTAATTGATACTCGACGAGAACATAATAGATAAATCATAACTTTACAACCCATTGCTATGCAATAAAGGGCACACAATCGATTTATATAAAATATGGGAAACAGGAATGACAAGCAATAAGTAGCTTACTTTCTACAAACTCAAAGTTAAAGAGGCTTTCAAAGCGGAGCCGTACCTCACTCTTTTACCGTTCGTGACTGGAGGAAGCAACTTCGTGGCTAGGATCCGAATGGAAGTGGACATAAGCTTAACATGAAACAGGAAAGATATGGGAGACGATCTGGTAGTAGTCATTATAGTATCTGAGTGAATTCTGCAGCGGAAGCCCGTTATTGGGAGCTCCTCCTTAACCTTCCAGGTGTCGACCCGATCATGGAAGATGTAAGAACACTTCCTTAGAATTGTCCCGGTAACCAGTCAGTAGGGACTAAACATGAAGGAGCCCACAGAGTCGCCTTGCTTTTTCATTGGACATGAAGAGCCTTTTCTCCGGAAAACATAAGTGAAATTTCACCAGTTCGTCGCTCAGCTATGCAGAACACGATTCCACTTGTGAAGAAGGAAACACAAACACTAGCGCACAGTACGAGGACATCACCCTTCCGCCGCTACTCCTTCATTGCACTCTACAACATTTGCACTCCACTCCAACACAATCACATCGTCGACTACACAATCACACATCAAGCATCTTTATTTTTCACATTTCACCTTATTGTTGTTTTCCCGCTAGGGTTTGCGTGCTTTTATCGCTCTTTTTGGTAGCTCCTATTTTGATCGATTTGCACTCGCCTCTGGCTTGTTATGTAGAGTGACACCACGACATTTTGGTAATGGTTTTCTCTCCCATTTGGATTACGGATTTTGGATTTATTTTAGCAACGCCGATCTAACGTTATAATACTGTAATATACAGATCTATCTTTGTAAACCTTGTAAACCTTGTAAACCTTGTAAACCTTGTAAACCTTGTAAACCTATCACTCCGGCCCCAAAGTCTGGCAGCCGAATCAACAATATAATATATATCTTACAACTTACATTTTTTTGACTGGTTCAAATGCTTTAATAGCTTTCAAATCAGGATGAAAAAATAAAGAATTGTCCAAGGAATAAGAATTTTGGTGCCCAAAATTTGGACCCCCAAGTGGTGTCAAAAACGCGAATTAAATAGGTAATAATTATTTTAGTCTTTGAGTCTTGACACCACTTAAGGGTTAGACGGGTTCCTGCTAGTAATTATGATGGTGTCATTATGGCTAAAGAAATATTATTTATAGGCTAATCTAACAAATAAATTTAACAGAATGATAACACGGTAAACTCAAAGTCGATCTGAATCGCTGAAAGACGAAGATATTCAGCGTGTTCAATCACTTTAGCACCCGACACCTCCTCCTTCCTCTCAGCCAACTTATTCTTCCTCTTTTTTTCTTTCTTCAACCTTCTTTCTTCGTTAATCCTCTCATTCCGAGCTTATCTTTCTTGAACGGTCTTCTCGTCCATTTCCTACATTCCTTTTAATATGTGTCTTCTTTATTATTATTTGTTGTTATGAGTATCAATTTCCTTATTGCTTACATTGAATTGAAATAGTAAGTCTTAACATACATTAACGTCCGTTGGCCAATTCGTGTCTGCTCGAAGTACTGTCGTCATCTGTACTCACAGTCACTGAGTCACAAGCTGAGATCCAGATCCTGATTATTCATCTCATTTACCATAACTCCAAATCTTTCAGCTTCCGGCTGTACTCTTGAAGTAATAACTAATCTTCTCTTCTGCAAGATTTCTTGGGTCGTGCTCAGAATCGCTGAAACCACTGAGCA